ATTCGCGGATCTTTGTTAATTAAAATCTCAGTAACTATTGCGAATCTAGCAAAATGGTATAGGACTTTTCACCTCAGTTTTATTCCTTCTACCTGCCTACGAGAGATGTTAAACCAATTCTGGGACACCCTGTATATATTGTAAGAGATTTATTTAACTTGCGTTAATTAATCCAGCGATCAGCGACCCCTTTCGTTCACTGAGGCTGAAAACTCGCGATTTATCAAAGAGATACAATCGATTGTATTACTAGCGATAACAGAGCAGGCGGCGCTGACAGCGGCCGGCCTAGCTATCCAAAAGCGGAGCCAAAAGACGAAAATCAGAAGACGTCCGGCTCGTGAATTAGTTAACACGTTTATTAGCGGCCTTGTGACAGTATTCTCTTACCTTTGTTCAGCGCTCGATAGTAAAGACAGTGCTTAATTATAAAAGCCATAAATCATTTATATATTCAGTTTATTTGTAAGTTTTGGTGATTGGTAACTTTAAAGAAAGATTTGTAACATTACTTATATTTCTCTTTTCTTTCCGTTCCTCACCGTAACGTCCCCTTTCGCTTTGCTCAAGGGTTATTCTTACAATATACATATACGTTTTGTTGTGTGTAAATAACGTTTACTGTGTGTAAATATATATGTAGTAAATGTTACACTTACATATTTAAAAAATTATTATATTAAAAAATAATATATGTAATTTCGTAAAACAACCAATAATTGATAATCATATCAATCATTCAGATGAAGATCTTTCGCAACCATATGCGCGGTTACGTACATCATCTTATTCTTTTTACTCAAATACTCATCGATCGCTCGTTGACGCATTTCCGGCCAGTTGTATAGATCCCGGAATATCGGTCGAACAAACTTCATGCGTCCTTGTTCGGTGACAAATTTCAAAGCGTCTGAAACTTTTGGCTGCCACCGACTTTTAATGCACAAGCGCAGCCAAACGAATCTGCAAAAGATATAGATTGCGTTATGTAATGGTATCATGAATTGATAAAGGAAAAGATCGTGATTCTCAGAAATCTGGATATGTGTGTTTACCGTATTTCAGAATTTTTCACAGAGTCCAATTGATAAGTATCCGCCATCACTTGTATCTTCTCGAGTGACAGAACCGCAGACGATTTATGCAATTCGGTTAAAAATGCCACTTTCTGACCGGGAGATAAACTCTCTATGTCTATTTTAACGAAAGGCGAGACCGTGCTTTCGTCCCATTGAATCCATCGTTTTGCCAAATCGATGCTCACGTTTATCAAGGTTCTGTCGTAATCGGGTATCACAGGTGGCATGCCCGGTTTGTACAGCCACGTATCCCAATCAACGGAATTTAGTAGCTCGACTTTATCGGCAAAGTGTTTGTATAGGTAATCCTTCCAGATGTCAGTCTTGATACTTTTGTACTTGTAAGCGTTCAAGTAGGATTTCAAAAATGACTCGAATATTTCTGGTCCTCCTAAAAGTTGCTCCAAATAAAACAAAAATGTGTGTCCTTTTTCGTAAGGCACTATCGAAAACGCATCATCAGGATCCACACCAGTCAAGTTTGGCACTAGATTTGTCAACTGATTAATCTCTCCAAGATTTTGAATCTGTGTAAAATGACATACGGATATAGATATTCAAGTAATAAAATAAAAATACAACATTGTTCTTTTATTTCTTTCACATTCAATACTTGCCGTCTCCCTTAAATTTTCGATGCCGTGCAATGCTTCAAAATGTCTTATTTTGTCACCGAACATCCTAGCATTGATTTTTCTCTCGACAAACATAGTAAAGCCTTCATTCAGCCAGAAATGTTCAAAATTCGCGTTTGTAACTAAGTTTCCTGTCCAGCTGTGCGAAATTTCATGAGCGACCACATTAGCAAGTGAACGATCTCCGGCAAGCACGGTTGGCGTTATAAACGTTAAACAAGGATTTTCCATTCCGCCAAACGGAAAGCTTGGCGGAAGTACCAATATATCGTATATATCTGCAAATATAAATAGAGTTTATACATAAAAAAAAAAAAGATTTAATGTATATTTGCACCTCTTTTAATAAAAAAATTTTTCTTATATTCAACAAGTAGAATTTAAATTTATATAAATGTTACCCCAAACGTAAGGACCGCATAGTTGCTCAGCAATTTGCAGCATTGTTTCAGTTTCTCCAAATTCGTATGCACTTTGATCAATGAATTCTTTTTCGGCCCATACTTTGCTTCTCGGACCGATCGGTTTCGATACCAATGCACCTACAGCAATAGCTACCAGATAAGACGGTATTGGAATCGGCTGATGAAATTCATATACTTTTGTGACATCATTATCTGATATTTTATCCAAAAGTGCAGACATTAGAACAGTAAGGTCTTTTGGTACAATAATCTAAAATAAATGTATACAAAATTGTCACAAATTATATATAAATTTTTTAAATAATTGTAGTTTTTTTAATTTTAGAACATTTTTCATTAAGATGATATCTATAAATATTTTGCCTTAGCGGAGTAGGTAAATTTCACAGATGGTGTATCTTGACAGGGAAACATAGATCTAGCGTGTATAGCCTAAAAAAAATATGAATGAGTTTATATTTATAATGTGAATATTAATACAAGTCACAAGAACATAGTATTTATTAATTCACCTGACATTGAGAAAATAAGTAAGGATGTACACCACCAACAGTTTGCTCAGCTGTCAGCCATTGCAGTGCAGTAGCATCTGGAGATGTTTCATACATAATCTCAATCTTATATCTGAAAAAATACCAGAGAATCATTACTATCATCATCACTAATTTACTATCAGAATTGTCTTTCATAAATAGTTTATATATTTACATAGTATCATTATCTCCGCTAGTTTCTGGTAATTGAATAGTAAATTTACTTCCAAATTCAACATTATCTCCAATAGAATATTCTAAAGGTGATCCGTTAATGGCATTTGTGACATTTGATATAACGAGTTTACGATTATCCAAAATCTAAATTATTAAACAAAAAATACTAATAATAGAATTAAAACATCATGGGTGAGCATGTATATACATGTGCAATATAGATAGAGTAGAAAGTAAGGAGTAAATAAGTTTAAGAGTAAGTGTTATAGTTGTCAGATGAAAAATGTAAAGTAGTTGTAAATTATAAAATAGCATACGTGTATGTGTATGTAAGTGTAGTTGTAAGATAAATGATTATATTAAAGAAGCAGACATCATTGTGTAATTCCTAAGAAATCAATAAACTATGTAATAAAAAAAATTACTTTTAAAGCAACTAAAAAAACTTTACTTACTAATTCAGTAGTGGGAGTTTTCTTCTCTACATCTAATATTGCTTTACCTTTAAGAACTGTTTGATTAAAATCAACAGATAATTCTAGGTGAGTATGAGTTACAATCGCAAGATCTGTAATATAATTACAAACTTGTATTAAATGTTTTTAAAAAAAGAATATTTATTAATACATTTGTGTTTCAAACTTTTAAATGTAACAGGTAAACATTTTGTTGTTTTTTTTTTTTAAATAAAGGATTTATTTTGAAAATATTAAAAATGTATGTAAAATTTAAAGAATTAAAATACCTGGTCTTGAATAAGAGCTTGGATCTCCGGGACTTAAATCCATTTTATTATTTTTTTTACTCTGAATAACTTCCCAACAAATACAGAATATAATTATTATACGATACAGATATAACATGACACATAAACAAATGACACAACTCTGTTATTCGTTATTATTATCTCTGCGACGAATGATTTTCAAACTTCGTAATTTGGTCTCTGAAATAAGTAAACAGATAAACTTGATTTCTTTTTACAAATTTTTATAGATGTTTTTTAGAGTCAGAGACTTTGTTTTCTTTGATTGATATCACATCAATTTACCGGCGTCCGAATATAATCAGGAGTAGTAAGAGTGATCAAGTGACCTTTTTTAGTAGATCGCAAGTCTCGAGCAGGCTTTATTACACCAATTCACCGATCAAGTAGCCAACACGATAGCTGTGTGTTGTAGTGAACTTGATACAGTGGTCTAGTTTCCACCGAAACCCTCAATTCGGTTTCACTCCGATACAGATCAAATTTTTATGGTGCGGTCAACGTCTCACTGCAAGGCTGCGGTCCGTTTTATGCTTAATCGCGCATTTATTTGTAGTATATGTCACGTATACTATATAGATAAATGCGCGCTTAAGCATGAAACGGACCGCAGACCAAATGTTTCCAAGTCAGAGAGAAACCTGAGAGCGGCCATCCTATTGTAATTTTTTACGACGGTTTCAGCCGCTGGTTTTAGTCGTATTTCCACAAAAGTGGAACTCAAAGGCCGTTCTACATTAAACGCAAGTCGCAGATCTCGTGGAATTGACCAATTGCAGAGTCAAATCAGCCAATCGACCAACGTGATTGATCAGTTCCACGAGACCTGCNACTTGAGTTTCATGGAGAACGGCCTTTGAGTTCCACTTTTGTGGAAATACGGCTAAAACCAGCGGCTGAAACCGTCGTAAAAAATTACATTAGGATGGCCGCTCTCAGGTTTCTCTCTGTCCAAGTATCATTCTATCTTTATTCTACATTTAAAGAGCCGTCTACAATGGAGAGTTGTAAGCCGTAATAGTAAGAAATTGACCAATCACAAACAAAGTACAGAAGAATAATCGATTGTGATTTGTCAATTTCTTACTATTACGGCCTACAACTCTCCATTGTAGACGGCTCTTAACGAGAAATAAAGATAGAACAATGCTTCAAACAGAGAGACGGCCTGAGAGCGGCCATCCTATTGTAATTTTTTACGACGGTTTCAGCCGCTGGTTTTAGCCGTATTTCCACAAAAGTGGAACTCAAAGGCCGTTCTACATTAAACGCAAGTCGCAGATCTCGTGGAACTGACCAATTGCAGAGTCAAATCAGCCAATCGACCAACGTGATTGATCAGTTCCACGAGATCTTCGACTTGCGTTTACTGTAGAACGGCCTTTGAGTTCCACTTTTGTGGAAATACGGCTAAAACCAGCGGCTGAAACCGTCGTAAAAAATTACAATAGGATGGCCGCTCTCAGGTTTCTCTCTGCTTTAAAACATTTGCAGTGAAGCTTTGACCGCACTCTTAGTGTTTCATTTTTAATGTTCCATTGGAAGTAGAGTATTTATAGATCGAAGCGGAAGTGAAATGAGCGCAATTTGACAGGTTTCCATCGACTTAAATTTGATTCTACGCAGTGGGAACACGCACACAAGCGAGAATCGCCGTGTGCGTGACGTCACGCCCGGCACTTCGGCTCGTAGAAAGGTACAGTCGGCGTCAATGAATCGTTTCGTGGACGCGGGGAGCTAGGGGTAAGAGAGACGGTATTCCCTAGCAGTAAATACTGTAATTGGCATATATGTATATATATATATATATATAGTTATATATATATATACATATATAACTATATATATATGTATATATACACATATATTACAATATTACATTTATATATATCATTTGTCGTACAAAAAGAGAAGAAGATATATATAAGTTTCCATATTTTTATTATATAGTTTATTAAAAAAAAGTGCATACACTTGTGTGTGAACATTTCAGATCACAGTGAGATTCATATTTCTTGTATTTTCTTAATAAGTTTGTTGCCGGTTAGAATAGTGTCTGACGCAAGAACCAGACGTATTCCTGTGGACTTTTCTATAAGCCGGCACGCCGCTATCTCTGCACAGGTGATACCTCCTATGACGCAGATCACGATTGTCTTCGGTGATAACACTCCACGTTGACCGTTAACAACGCAGCCCGATAAATTAGTCAAATCCTCAAAACTGCGAGTATCTTTCTCTTGATTGGATATAATGTTTAATATTTGCGCCTAAAAAATTATAATAATGATAATTTTGTAAGAAAAATAAAATATTATGTATGAATTTGTAATGTAGTAAGAAATACGAACTACAAAAGGCATATAAGTGTTACTGAACACATAACTCGGACAAGTACGACTGTTCTGATCGGACCGCTTGGAATAACCGGGCAATAGCTTCAATTTTTGTGCGTTGCTACTCCATTCGCTGGTCCTGCTCGGCAATTTGTTTAAAATATTTTCAGTTCTGTATTTTAACAAACCAACTGTGCGCAATTTATAGAACAACGGAATCTGCTGATAACCATGCGTGTGGAGATGTAGTTTTTGAATATTTTGAAGCTCGGTCTGCGTGATACCATCCGTGGTAATAGATAACAGGCACAAAAGACGCAAACATCGTAATTCGTGCTCGTCTGCAAAAATACTCTTTGTATAGTTTAGTAATAAATTATTTATATATTTTAATTATAATCGACCTAACGTCGAAAATTTAAATTTTAATTATGAAAATTTAACAAAAATTTAAAATATATTTCAAAAGAAGCACCTATATTTCTCTCGATATAGCTCAAACATTCCTTTCTATCCCTACAATCGAGCATTAGTCTCTCGATCGTCTGCAAGGCTTGAAATTCGGAACCCAAGCTATCGGCAATGGTCTGACATGCGGATATGTGAAATGCCAATTGTCGCGTCGTGTCCCTGGATTTTTGCAGTCTCGTTGACACATATCTTTCCATCTCGGCCAACTTCATCAGTTGTATAGCTTCCTGTTCAGCTAATATCATTCAGCATTCATCAAGAAGACCGTTATCGGGGAAAAAAAAAACAACCAATACGCATAAAAAAATGACGTACATTTAAGTGACTTGGCCTTGCCGTGTAAGATCGGAAAAACATCGCTGCAAGGAGCATCTCTCACTTCTCCATAGATGTGATCTTTGTACGGGTCCAATTTAGTTTGCGATTTTCCCAATACTGCTGTGCCGACATTCACTTCGATCATCTCGTGCAACAAGCCCGTGTATATCACCGGTGTTAAAAGAGTCGTGACCAGATCGAAACTTCTGTCCATGACAATCAGGGCGCCAACTTCGTTTTCCAAACTAGACGTGCCCAGGCATTGCTCTATCGATTCCATCAGCTTGCCCACCTGCTGGCTGTGTTTGCCAAAAAAGAGCGAGAGTCTCGGAGAGCCGAGTATCAGTTGCAACGACCACAAGCTGCGCGCCAGTACTCGCAGAAGACTGGTATCCTTGTGATAATATAAATCGACAAACATTGGATTTTCCAATGATAAAACATTGCCGTCTAATTTTACGAATTCTGTGGACAACGTCTGCAGTGCAACCAGTCCAGACAAACCTATAAATAAATAGTTTGATCGTTATTATCGGGTCAAATAAAAAAAAAAATATGCAATATTATCAAGTCGTTGACCTTCTTCCTCAACGAGATTGTGTAAAACAGGTGGGACAAATGGCATGACCAGCAAATGATGACACACAGTGACGTGAGGCCTGTTAATGTGGGACACCTCGGACTGTATTTGATCAAGAACCCTTTTACATGTGATCAAATTATTGGATACTAAAAATATACGTTGAGTATTCGATGGTTTCAGTCCTTCCTCCATTTTGTATATTTTGTCCACTCCGTATCTCCTATGTAAATACAAAAAAAAGAAGAAGTACAATATCTCTCAAGTGTTAAAATAATAGCGTTATAATAACAAAAACAAAAATATAAAATATTTATTTAAAAAATTGTATTTACTTTAGCACAGTCATGCCTACGAAGCTGTCCAGCACTTTCATAAGTTTTTGTTCTATTATCAGATCCTTTGTTCCTGGAATGTTATCCAATATCTCGACAAGTTTCCTTTGACTTATCTGCTGCAGCACATTCAGCTTGTCGTCCAGCGTAATATCCATTTTTGTTTTATTCATACATCACAAGTATTGTACACAACAATGCTACGAACAATTTTGCTGATCCGATTGTTATCCCAGATGTTTTTCATCCGCTGTAAACAAAACTATGTTTCACGTTACAACTCTTGTTTTGCGATCACCTACCATGTAACACCTTGATTTCGTATCTTGATCGGCGTTTTTTACGAACAGCATACGTCTAACGATTTTGATAAATACTAAAAACCGTGGTCGAAACGTCAAACTTTTTATAAACTATCAAATAAAGAACATCATTATTATATCCATACACAACAACAACAACTGTGCTTTTGAACTCCAACTGCCTTTCTATATATTTTTTAAAACTATATGTTTATCAAAAAAAGTTATTTGACATTTATTTTGACTTCGTGAATACTTTTTGTCTTTTTAATTCGGTTGCAAACGGAGCAACTTTTATATGATCCAAAAAGAGAAGAGATTTAAAAACGATTATGTGTTTACGCATTGTTACCGAGAGTGTCGTTTCGCAGGCACTTGTGTGCAGTCACGCAAGTGCGGCAATGTCTTTTTTTTTTAACGACGAGTTAATGTCGCGCATAATTTTGCAACGATTCTCGCAGCAACGTGTCGCATTACCATAATATCGTTATACGCCACACACATCGTCACGATCACAATAACGTGAGCACTCGCAGCACACACGCCGCGAGAGTCGCGTGCGTACGCACGCGTGATGCGTGTGCGTGTGTGTGTGTGTGTGCCACCACTTGTCACGTGAGAAAAAAAAAAATACATACGTAAGAGCGATCTCTCTCCGCGCGCCAGCAATATACACCATCCCTCTTATACTCTCATCTTCCGCCGCCGCCGCCGCCGCCGCCGGCGAGAGTCAAAGCGAAAGCGAGAGCGTGTTTCACGCGCTGACGCGAGTTTCGCAGCGACGAAGGTTATTTAAAAATGGCAGACGCGTCGTCTTCCGACACTACCTCAGATTGCTGCAATGAGTGTTTCTCTGACATTACGTCGGAAAAATCAGAATGCGTCGTTATGGGACGCAAACCGTGCCCGCCGCATCGTCGCAGCAAACGGAATTTTCTGCAGAAGCTGCAGATAAGGGAGGTAAGGGTGGTCTTAACCTTCACGCCTATAACGTGAACGAACGTAATCGAGAAACTGAGACGGCGTTCGCTTCTCTAAATTTATAGGAAACAGTTTTTTTTTGCTGTTTCGTTCGCGAGTTTTTTTCAGGAAAAAACCCGCAAGATTCGCGAAAGATACGAGAGATTGTTCAACTTTTTGATTACAAATATAGTTTTTTTTTTTTTTTGTTTTTTTTTTGAGAACGATCCGTCGCTCTTCGTCGCTCACTTGCAAAAAAGTACGAAGTTGTTTTTAGATTCTTAAAAACTATTGTAAAAAAAATACACACACCATTGTTGCATGTTAAATAATGTGAGTTTTATTTAAAATACTGTTGCAATAATGTGCGTTAGTTTTTTTTTATTTTTTTTATTTTTTTTTTTATAATAAACAGATAAGTTAGGTTTTTTTTTTGCAGCAATTTAGTAAGTCTTATTTGCAGATGAGAGGATGTCTGTCAGTGCACAATTATGCGTCAGAGGAAAGACTGTTCACAAGTGTACCTAAATGGCGACATTTACCTCTCTTACATGTAATTCCAAAGTCCGCGCTTGAAGCAGGGTATGCTTATTAATATAATACATACTAATATTATATTTACTGTTTATCATATATATATATATATATATATCACATGTAAGTAAAAGCAATTTGTAATGAAACAATTTGTTTTTTTTTTGTCAGGCATATTTTTATGGGATTAACACAATGTGGTCAGTTTCTGCTTACGTATACTTACACACTGGATGTTGGTAGTAACACATCTTTGTACAAATATCTGTTACATTGGTGGGCTTTTACACCAAATCGTGTAGCCCGCAAAGTTGCCGAAGTCACATTATTTGGCAATTATACAATTTATAGAGAATTGAACATAGTTATATCACAATGGCCCATGGAACGGAACAAGCTTGTAATACATGGCCTCTGGTACGTTTTGAATTACAGCTTGTAAAATTAGCTAAAAAATAAAATGCACAAAAATCAATTGGTCTTTTTGTTTGTTGCAGTTCAAATTTTTTAAATTTGCATCCAACCGATAGAGCATATTTAACAATAACGACAGTACCATCTCTTGACAATTGTAAGGAATGCTTGAAAGTTGCCGCATCATATGAGGAAGAATATGAAGGTAGTTAATAACTCATAAAAAAATTGTAAAGGAAATAATTTATTTAAAATGTGATACAGTTTTTGTAATACTTTATTTAAAATTACACGAATTATTTTACAGAATTAGCTGCGAATTGGGACGGTTGCGTGCGATGCAACTGCCTGCAGCACGGACTGACGGTTCATACAACGTACGAAGTCATCTCGCCGTATCCAAAATTTCGAGCCACGGTGTGTTTGAATTACTGGAATCACGTGGTCGTGAACACGGGCAATTTTTTGCACGTTCTTAGGGTAGATCTGAACATACCTAAAACGAAGGGTCATGGAACATGTGATAAGCAGGATAATTCCGGACAAGAACCCATTGTACCGGACACAATCCCGTTAGACATGAGCGATGTCGAAGAGGTGGACTACGCAATGAGGACGGAGCGGGACGAGAGTTCGGACGAAAAAGTTTCCGACACACCGGAGTGCGTCGATCAATCTCCCAAGTGTGAGTCCAGTCTGGAACACGATTTTTTAGACGAGCCGGTCAAGTTGGGACGTGACTCGTTAAATACCTCAAGCAGCAATCAAAGCGACTGTGTCTGTGATAAAAACAATAAGTCCACCGTTGCGGGCGCTTTAGGTGTTAAGTCATGCGAATGCTTGGAGGTAGCCGAATGCAAGTGTCGAAACAATAACAACAACAACACTAGTAGCAATAACAGTCCTGTCGCGCGACCAAGTAGTGGTATTGAGCAGACAGCAATTTCGGTACGGGATAAGATTCTGCAGGATTTCTGCGAGGACACGTCGCAGGAACTCAACATCGGCAATGATCTCATCACGCTGGTAAAGCATCCGTCATGCTCACCGCGCTCGACGCCGCAGCGATTACCCGCCGATCTCAGAACTATGACCATGTGGTCGTCGCCGATGCTCACTCCGCCGTCTGATATCCTACGCACTCGCAATTCAGAGTCTAGTCACAGAATTCAGGTGCAACGTAATAATAATAATAGTAGCCAGCAATCACGTTCAAACTCTCCTCAACCCAGTGCTTCGCAACATGAGAACAGTTCCGTGGCTTCCATAAACCCGTCGCTTCAATCCGTATCGATCACTCCTTCGTCCTCGTCCCGCTTGATGTCTCCGCCTATCACAAGATCTTTCCGTCATCCGAGTCCGCGCAAGAGATCGAGTCTGCATTCGCCTCCGCCCGCCGTTGTGAGCTCGAATCAGCCGACCCGAACGACGAGAGCCACGCACAAACTAATTCTCGAAGCGGAAAAAGCATACGAGTTCACCGACGAGACGCAGGAAGCGACCTGCGAGAAACTAAGTTCGTTTAGAAAACGCCGACTTGCTGACAAGAAGTATGAATTCTGTGACGAGACAGAGGACGCGGAGAATATAGTTCCTTTCAAGCTCATACGTGACCAGTTCAAACTCCGTGGCGCGTATTCCATACACCAGATACCTTCTTCGCCGACGATGTCGTCGGTAATGCCGAATGGCCGAAGACACTGGGTCGATTCTGATCAGAGCGAATCAGACGAGTTGAATCTTGCTCAAGATATTAGTGTATCGAGTGAATTGTTGAGTACCGAGACAGGTAAAGTTCTCGATAATTCTTAGCAAAAGAAAATCTGCGTGGGATTGTAGGATCAATTTTTTTTTTTTTTGCCGACAGAAAAAAATGTTCTCCGACCTTTGAACCAGAATCAACTGTCCAATGGGAGCGTGCATCGAGATCATCGGATAGGTAAATGCTGTTCGAATCTCTCACCGTTGGTTCCTAAGAACAACTTGCAGTATCCTTCAATAAAGTGTACCGCGCGTTTCAAACGGAGCTACATAGAACTTGATGACGAGATGATATCGGTGATTACAGATGTAGAAGGTATCCGAAAGTTCAAATAATTAATTTATTTTGCTTTAGAAAGTTTTTTGCAATGTTTTGATGTTAAAACATTAATGTGCTGGGAAAAATAATCGGAAATATGTTTATAGACGAAGAAACAGGTGGATATGTAAGCTACCAATGTGTGCTTCCAATGCTCGTGCACGGTTCAGGATATGTACAAATGCAAATGATCAGCAACAGTAAAGCAGAAAAACTGGTACATATTTAAACACGCTAAGTTTTCTCGCTCATGTGTGTGTAATAATAATTACCAACAATTAAAATTTAAGCAAGCTCGCTGTAAAATAAAATCTAAATCACAAACCACTGAAAAAAAAATCATCGTTAAAAAGATCATGTGAAAACTTTTAGATAGTGCCATGCGTTTCTATAACGCAGTTGAGTTTTGATATCGAAACGTTCTCTCATCATATAGCAGATTGGATCTGTGCGAGATTCAAGAAAAAATATTGGCACTGCAGTGATTATGATATAGAAATAATCGACGTGTGCGCACTTAGTGGCGACATTATATGCTTGCATATAATGAAGATCCAAGCAAGTGAGTTATGTAGTCAAACGCAATGGTAAGCACACATGCTATTCTTTCTGCTCTGTTAAATTATGATCTCTAATCGTGATTCTTTCGTGTCACTTTATACCGACTATCACACATTACATCTCTCGAGGTATTTGTTCTGAAAACCCGTTAAATAACGAGTCAATATAATAATGTACATTTAGTTCGCAAGAGAGAAAGCAGTATGAAGTTGGGTGTAAGTTCACGTGGAACATCAATACAAGTCAATACAGAATAACGGATGTTTTACCGATGGAAGAAGTCAAGCTGGAGTCTTGGAAGCTGACGCTCACGAATATACCGAATTTTCGTAGCCAAATATGGAATCCAACACGTCGTTTGGCTACACAGTTGCGTGAAAAAATTCAACAACCGTACACACATACCGTACGTTTTCTTCACAACGAGATGAGCTTAGCAGGTTAGTATTTCAACGCGCAAAAGAAAATCATTTTACCCTAATTCATCATTATTATAAACAAATTGTTTATATATATTGACTCTCATATTTGCAGGTGAGTCTATAACCAAACTCACCGATTTGGACAATCTGGTGCAGTTTTACTTAACACCAAGCGACGCCTTAATAGAATAAAAACAAAAACAAAGCCATTTAATTAACTGCAAACAATAATTTATTTATTATAATATAAATTTTTGCTGTTTTTATCTATTTGACGAACAAGTGACAAGTGGCATATAATGTATAGAAATGTGTAACTTCGCATTGTTTATAGTGTATAAGTGAATATAAATTTTTCTCGAGCATAAATAATATCGACATAAGAAGAGAAATATGAGCCAATGTTGAAATTCTCTCTCTCTTTATATGTCTCTTCCTAGTGTAATAATTTAAGTGCAACTTATTGTTAGAGGCAATAGACGGTACTAAATAATAATACAACGAAGCTCTCGCAAGTATTTTGCTCTGATTTGTAAAATTTACCATTGCTCTGTATACTATACATTAAAGTTATATCTACGCTGTGTGTCATGGTAACTACTGCACTTTCATAATATTATAGTAGATATATATAGGTGACTAAACTGATTGTCAATAAATGTATCGTAACGTGGTTTTGAAGTAATCGGGAGAGAAAGAACGGAGAATAGTGACAACCGGTCCGATACTTGGTCCCTAAAATAATTAATTGATAATCTAACTCTAAAAAAAAAAAAAAAAAGGAACATCCTCGGAGAATTTCGTTCGCGTACGCGATATACATACTTACTAATTCTTTTTTTATCCTACAACAATACATGTAGAATATATATATACAGAAAAATTTACGTTAATTTCTTACATTATCACACATGATCTTATTGTATCATAAAGGCAATTTTTTAAATAGAATTTTGATATTAACATATTATATATAATATGTACATAAAAAAAAAATGCGCTACTTTTATTATTATATCAAATACATTCGTTATAACTCCTCCATTTTGCTAAATAAATCCTCTCAGAGATACAGAATGACGATATGATTCTACGGAAAGCAATGATAACAAGCTATATATAGTAAATAGGAATTGTTATCTGGATTGCAATAAATGTTGTGACATTATTTAATAGAGATCTCGTGAACGATGTTATTTTACCTTTTTGTGTTTAAATAAACATTTATTCTCTATCTATTCTTTTTTCTGTTTTCTCGGAACGTGCGCGCGCGCACGTACGTATGTAAGAGAGAGAGAGAGAGAGAGAGAGATAGACTAGCAGTTCAAACAGGTATCTTGACAGGTGGTCCTACATTAATGTCAGATCCAATCCCATCTAACTTGAGGCCGGCAAGTATCTCTTCCCACGCGTTCATACATTGTTGATAGTGCCTGATATGTCGGTCGGCCATCGCAATCAGCATGCTCTTTAAATCCTGCTGCTTCTCCACGTTCCATCTCTGCAAGTCGCTTCGCAAATTCTCGTTCGCGCATTCCACGCGATCTTGCAATATTTCCGTCTGCTTAGCTAATCGCGGAATGATCTGGCTAAGTCGCTCCAACTTTTCGTCGCGAGATTCTGGTTTCCATAGAGATCCACCCCAGCCTTGCGCGGGTATCGCGTAGCTCGGACTCCCTATCAACTATGCAAATTGCAAATTCTTTTTTTTATTAATATGTAAAAGCAAAGAATATGATTTTTTGGAGAAAATTTTTTATAGAATAGAAATTTAGCTTTTATTATATGAGAAGTTGTGGGTTATTATAATTACATATATGGAAATGAATCGTTCTCTAGAACTTGATTAAATGTAAAAACACATAAGAAAAAGACATGCGTAATAAAATAATACCTGATCTTTCTCCGACCTTTTTTTCGCTAACAGATCTACTGTTATTTCGTATTCAATTTGCATCGAATCACGTCGGGATAATGCATTTTTCACCGCTTCTATGTACGAGACATATTCGCGTTCGTCATTTGGAATGTTCTCGAGTAGTTTCTGATGAGCCATCGCGTTTGCTTCAACCGCTTTAGCGATCGCTAATAAAATGGATGCGAGCTCTGGCTCTGAGGTTGCCCACAAAGTAAATATAGGATGCAACTGGTGAAGCTCCAATAAATAATCTGTTATATTTAATATGAGAATCAATTAATATTGATTTTTGCTACTACAGTCAACATATATACGAGCAATGTATAATATACCTTGTCTCTCTTTATGTATACGATGATTAATCTTATCTATAGCAGACAGTTTTTCGCTCAGAGCTGTGCAATAGTCCCGAATCTGCTCAAACTCCAAATGATGTTGTTTCATCGTATACGTGCTTGTCATATTCTGCAAGGAATCTGTCACTTTTCCAAGCATATTTCCACGGTTCTTGCGATGAACAAGAAATTCCTAAACAGAAAAATATTAAATTTACACAAAATTCAACGCGCTCATTATTGCTTTTGAATAAATTTAAATAACATTGCACTCACCGCAGGTTTAGTTGTGAGAAAGATGTGAAGATTTTTATCGCAACTGAGAATAGGATGATTTATCACTCTGTTCAAAAATATGTGCAGAAGTTTCATGCGTGCTATGATAAATTCCTTTGAGTAGCGATCCAACTGAGCAAGTAGTGTATGTTTGCCTGGCATTGGCTACAAAGATTTTGAACTGATTAAGTTTTTTATTAACGTCATTCTTTTATTAATGTTATTATTATGTTATTATTGTTATTGTTTCATTAATGTTTCATAATAAATTATTAAAAGTGATAAAAACTTACTGGTATAATATGTGTTGGATAAGTATCCACTAACTTTTGACGCAGCCAAATAAAATCATTGTAACGTCTGCGAACTATATATTCTCCTTCTTCAAACTCTGGACGTGTGGTCTAAAAAAAAGAATTTTTGCAAATTTGTTTACAAAAGCAATAATAAAAAAAATCTATTTCAATGGCAGATATATATACTAACCCTGGTTGTTATGCGAAATGTAATATATGTCTCCAGAGTTTCAAGATGTTTCTGTGGATTGTCCACTTTCACTTGCAGATCTCGCGAATCGGTCTGAAAGTCCGATATCTCCTGATCCGGAAGAGTAGAGAAACTGTCAATAGAAGGTGAAGCAATCTAAAAAAACAATTGCAAAAGTTTCCTCATAATTAATTGATTAACGGCTAGTCGTCGAAGTAGGTCCCAGGTTATGTCCTGTATTCGTACCACGGATCCCTCTATGGAGGTGCTGCAGTTGGATAAGAAATCGACATCGCGGCTTTCCTGCTTCACAATTCCGCCTACCGCCATAGAGCTCACCTCCAGGATCGCGGAATCTTCGGCACTATTTTCACTCGCCAGATTTTCCATATCCGACGTTTCCGACGAGGTCATCATTTTCTTAATAGTGCACCACAACACACACACAATAGCTGTCGTAATACCAGTTACCACAAAACAGTCATGGACGTAAGAATATATAGACGGAACTTTCTGCTGCGGGGTAGGTGATAATAGCGGTAAGGGGAGGACTTATTGACTCCGGCTATTTCCGTGAACGCTCGGAAATGTTCGGCATTACGTGAGTTCATGAAGTAAGGCCTGGTTTATATGCGGGCAATAACTGGTCTAGTTTCCACCGAAGCATTAATTCACACCAAATGCGACGTAGAATCAAATTCAAGTCGATGGAAACCTGTCAAATTGTGCTGATTTCACTTCCGCTTCGATCTAAAAGTACTCTACTTCCAATGGAAACAGAGCACTAAATTTGATCAGTACCGGAGTGAAACCGAATTGAGGGTTTCGGTGGAAACTAGACCAGTTATTGCTCGCATAAACCAGGCCTAAAGGGTCGTCTACAATGGAGAGTTGTAGGCCGTAACAGTAAGAAATTGACAAATCACAATCGATTATTCTTCTGTACTTTGACTGTGATTAGTCAATTTCTTACTATTACGGCCTACAACTCTCCATTGTAGACGGCTCTTAATACATATAAATACTTATAGGAAAATCAAACCTAAAACTTAAACGGAGAAACAACATAGAAGAGAGATTTGAGAGAAAAACAGATGCAAATTGAGCACTATTTTTACAATGGACTATATTGATACAAGCTACACGTTAATACGTGCAGTTCGTGAAGGAAACCTAGAGAGAGCAAGGGAGATACTTACTTATTTTGGACTATCTTATTCACAAGCATGGAAAGAAGGATATGTTTTACTTTGTGATGCTATTGAGAATAGACATACAGAAGTTATTAAACTACTTTTAACAAATGGTTCTAAAGTTAACAGCAACACTGACGAATATGATAATGACGATCTTGGTACTCCACTTCATCTTGCTGTTATAAATGGTGACATAGAACTTGTTAAGATGCTTCTAGACAGAGGTGCTAACGTTAATGCTGAAACTCAGGAAGGTACAACTTTGCTTCACAATGCGATTGTAAAGGAAGAAATAGAAATTGCTGAATTACTTTTAAATCATGGAGCTAACGTTAATGCCAGAGATAAGTCAGGTATAACTTTATATTGTAGCTTAGAAAAGATATTTACAGATTGATGAACATCTTTTAGAACATGGAGTTTAATTGGAGAGTTAATTCTACATATATCTCTTCCTTTTCAGGTGTTACACCACTATGTCTTGCTGTTAAAAAAAGACATATAAGTGGTGTTAAGCTGCTTTTGGACAGAGGTGCTAACGTTAATGCTGAAACTCGAAATGGCACAACTCTGCTTCACAATGCGATTAACTATAAGAATAAGAAAATTGCTGAATTACTTTTAAATCATGGAGCTATCGTTAATGCCAGTGATAGATACGGTATAC